GTTGCATTGAAAGTGAATAAATAAATAAATAAATAAATAAACCAGGTAACAGCAGGTGCAGGAAGCAGCAGCGTCCAAAATACATCCCATACTCCAAATGAGCAAATTCCGTAAGATTCTGCGTTTTATACTGGATTCCATTTTATGTCAAATCTGTGATTTCCACACTGCAGAAATCAAAGGGCCCTAAATATCCCAGTCTTACTTTTATTTATTTTTTTATACACCTGGGACATTTTTCCATGTTCCCCCTGTAATGTGCTGGCGTACCCCTGGTTGGGAATCACAGCTCTAAACACCTGTTCACGGGCCTCTCCTGCTACAGAGGTTAGAGACCATGAACCTGGAAAATACCTGAGATCAGAGTTTATTCCTCCCTCTATCAGGGTTCSCACAGATCCTTAAAAAGTCTTTAAAAGGCCTTGAATTCATCAATTCAAAAATAAGGCCTTAATTAGCCTCGAAGGTCTTAAATCAATCTTCAGAAGTCTTAAAAATGTTAACACATAAGTAGGATGACTGTAATTTGTATTAAATATTAAAATAGTTGGTAACATAATAAATTTTTGAAATATTCCCATACTGTTGACACCACTTTACATGCAARTATCTCAACAACTGTTCATCCGAGCAATGTGAAATTTGTTTTCTAATGTTAATAATGTTGTCTTTCCAAAAATACATTTATATTTCTTACAAAAATTTGTTGTCACATGCACTTTAATGTTTCATCTACAGCAAGCTGGGGTTGAGGACCCACTGTGGGTCATAAAGCTACAAATTTTGGGTCGTTAGAGGATTTCCAGAAATGAAATAAATTTAAAACCGACTGCTAAGAATGTCTTTTTGCTATATTTGACAAAATAGCAGTTAGATATGGATGAAAACAATTGGTCTATTAGCAATATTTGAATAATCCAACCAAAAATACTTTGATTCATGAGTTTCTGCCACAGTTTAAATTTTTTTTGTCATTTCTATTTATTGTGAAATTGGTCTTAAATTTGATTTCACTTGGCATTAAAAAGTCTTAAAATGTCTTAAATTTAACTTGCCTTAAACTGTAGGAACCCTGTCTATGCTAGACACAAAGAAAACAAACAAGAAGGCATATTTATTGCTCATCACGACAGGCTTACCTGCAAAATGGGGGGAAATCTGTGTAATTTACTAACATTCCATATAAAGACATGTGTGTCACTAGCTACGTTTACATGGACAAAATTTTTGGATCGGATTGAAATGTATTCAGATTAAATAATCTGAATGTACTGTTTACATGGACACAATCCGATCATGACAAGTGTTTACATGCACCGGAGTTTTATTCAGAATAAAAGTCCGGACAGTGTTGTAAACGTTCAGCTCTACTTCCGTGTTACAAATGTAAACAAAGCTCCTCTGTGCGTTCAGGACGGACCCGTGTCAGCT